GCTGTGAGGCTTGCAGGTCTTTGTGCGCAAATTCATTGAAGCTTCCAAAAACCACACGCCCACAAGACTTGGTGATGCATGACCTACGATTAACGCACTCAAGCCTGAAGCAAGCTTGACCGGGAGACAAGCTTCCATGAGAGCTGTCGGGCAGTGTTTTGCAGAAATCAGCTAGGCCTTCGAGCACCGATCGCCGTCACTGCGCCAACTGCCAGCACAGACGCCGAGGCCTCGCTGCGCTGTGAGCTCGGTTGCTGCGATGTCACACTTACCAACTTCGTCTCTCACAGCTTGGACAATCCGGGCGAGGCATGAGAGTTCGATGAGAAAGCAAACAGGCCACTACATTGGGCTGCTCAGAAAGCATCCTCCTTGTTAGGGTCTGGGGCTTTCGGGCTTAGGGTGAAATTCTCATACACCGTCGGATTCTAAATCTGCCATACTCTGACATCAAGGTGCCAAGTTGTGGGAAGCAGGCGTCGATGGGAACTCCGGCTGCTGCACCGCAGGTGTGGCGAGGCGTCCTGATATGTTTACTGTGAAAGTGGCCGATCGTGGAAGCTGCCATGTCCTGCAGCAGTCACCGGCGCGTGCACGCCCTGCACGAAGGCGAGGCCTTCCGAGCGGAAATCATGAAACCGGTGCGAGAAATACGGAACTCGTCGTCTTACAATCTACCACGTCTAAATGTCTGGAATGATTCAAAAGTACATAGCAAAACCCTTCAACTTGGTAGCGTGGCTACGGCTGCTTGGAACTGTATAGTGCTAGTGCAGGGAAACAAACTGCTCCGGCCTGATGCATCCGTCAAAGCCATGACTCAGTGGCACGGCCTGCATAGAGTCTGCAGAAACCCGAATCCCAATCAGCTTATAGATTCCATCTCACGGAAATCACCAGGACGCACGTGCAGCATTCAACGGTTGTCTCTCATTGCAACTATCGCTTCCGAGCATCGATGCAACTAGAAAGCCTTTCTCAGATGCTGGCTTTCAAAGCAGAGTAGCTCAGTAGCACGAGCCTTCTGGCAACCAGGAGCTTGAATAACAATGTCGGCACAAAAGCTGTGAGCCCTGTAGCTGCATGACTTAAGCTGGGAGGTTTTAAGTGCTGCGTCACTGCAGTTCGTAGTCCTTGGAAGGCCTACAGCTTGCACAAAGCAACGCCTTTTCTTTCAGATTCGCCTTCTTTCCTTGGTGTCCCTGGGATGACCTGGCTGCGAACCTGCATGGACCTTTTGTCGTATTGCTGAGTGTATCTTACGGTAGCTTTGCCAGGATCAGGAACTAGCGCAGGGTCTCGGACTACGCTGCATATGCACCAGCTTTCGGGCGCATCGCCTGTTCTTCAAGCGCAGCGACCTGTGTGATACAGCAACCAATGGCAATCCCATAGGGATGCCGGCATGGCTCCTACAGCTTCAAAACTCTGCTTCAGCGAGTTGTTGGCAGTACTTTTTATGCCTGCAACGGACGAAGCACCGTGCACACGACAGTGGGGTCAGGGCACAAGTACCTGGCCTCTGGCGAGCATTGAAGAAAAGCCTGGACCGATAGTCTTCCCCGGGAGGAACCTGCACCGGATGCCCTCCCTTCGGGCCCTTCCGTTCGGTCCGGAGTCAGAACTGTTCTGTGCCTTTTCTTTTTTCTGGGCCAGTTTCTGCCGGAGCCTTCACGCTAAATTCAAGTGCCGATCGGCTGCAGTGCAGGCCTTGGATATGAATGTCAGAGCTCTCTGGATGTGTCGGGATTTAGAAGTGTCCCAACAGCCTTCCAGTCAAGAAAGTTGCGGTGATGGCTGTGAGCAAGTGTGTGCTGACTTTCTTGGCCAGCTGTTTAATTCGAGGTGGGACCCGTAAAGGGGAGCAAAGCTCTCTATATATTTCTTGCTGGTTTTCGATAGCCAAAGTTTGTGTTCTAAGTTTCGCGCACTTTTCGGTGCAGGCCTGACGGCCGAAACTCGGTGCCACGTTTCTGTTCGCGATGACGGAAGTTGCTGGCAAGACTGGTTGCGAATGTCCGCACTAAAAACGTCAGTCTACTGTTCCGTGCACTTGCAGTTGCAGCTCGGTGATCGGCGCGGATTTTTCTAAGAGCGTGCAACATGAACAATCCGGGCAAGGGGCAGGGTCCGGGGCGGGGCCGGCCCGGCGTGTAGCCAAGCTGCATGAACGCAAAACACGCTGGAACTGAGAGAGGCACGCACTCGACACCGTCACACCAGTTTCAGGGACTAGTCTGGAACCCAGCCTTGCTTTCGGCACCCCAAGGTTTGCACAGGATTCCGGCCGAGTAATTCCAAGCAAAAGCATGGGCGACTTGTAAACGGCACATTGAAGAACCCCCAGGGCTCGCACCACGAACTCGGGGTTCGGCGGAGAAGCACGCCAGATCTCTTCCAGCCTCTTATACGGTTTTCGCAGGCCATGTTCTGGAATCCACACAACCCACCCTAAACCGTAAACCCTAAACCCTAAACCCCAGGCCTGTCAATCTCAATATACATGACATTGTCGACCTCCCCTTTGGCAAGAGACAAGCTCCTCGGCGTGCGGCACAATGCTGCGGGAACTTCGAAGTAAGGGGTGAGTTTCGACTCTACAATAGGGTTCTGGGGCCCGTTATACTATATTTATGATAAGGAACCCTCAAAATAGTATAGGCAATATTTGAGGAAGTATCCCATCTTGGCAGGTCTTTACGACAAGGCGCAGTCTGCTTAGGGTCCAGATTTACTGTATGAAGGCCCCGTTTGTCCTAGACTCCCCTGTGGAGCGCCGGTACTCCGTTAATTGAACTGACCCGCAATGCCGGCACTGCCTGGTACAGACTGCCAAGTCAGGGTCGGACACCTCCGAAACGCTGGTATGCCCAAGCAAATTAAGACCCTGCAGAACTCCTCCGAAGCGAGCCAGTGGTCCGTCTGAAAAATGGAACAAAGATGAACAAAGCTGCAGAGACAAAACAAATACTGCTTAGGTCTCAATGGGACGCCAAGCAGATCTTCTGCAGGATTCGCAGGTTCAACGGTTGCAGGGAAGTTGCGGCTGAGTTCAGCAATCTCTTCAAATCAAGGCGCCCGATGTCAGGTACATCTTGGCAGCTTCCCTGAGGGAAAATCACGTGCCAGGCGAGTGCATGGTGTTTTCCGGAAGGCTCGGTTCAGCGAAGCCGCCTCGTTCGGAACTCTGAACCTAGGCTCACCAGGGAGGCAAAGAGGCAGCACAACTTGAAGCCTTCCCAACTGCCGTGTATTCTGTCACCCCTCCGTGCCAAGAAACAAATAAACATCCACGACCTGCTTTAGGAAGCATCCCCCGCCGGTGTCCATTTCAACCAACGCCTGTCGGGAATTGGACAACTCTATCTTTGGGGGCTCTCAAGGCTTTTGTGCAGATCAGGGTTCAGAAGGATCATGGCTACGGTGTGCCTCCTTGTGTGTGGGTGTGCGCATCAGTATTAGTACTTTTGTGCGTGTGTATATATATATACATGTACATATAATATATATAAATATATATATATATACACACACGCACACATACGCATACATACATATGCATGCAAAACAGTGTTTGTACGTATACAAGTATATGCTTACAGTGATGTGTATATAAGGCAATATGATATAATAAAAATCATATAAAGTAATTCTACATAATGTAATATGATTAGGTATAGTGTCATACATTGTCATGTAATTAGATATGCATCTTTTGGCTCCCACATGGCAACGTCAGCAGGCTGACCCTGCATCGCATCTTTATGAATATGAATATGCAAACAGCATAGTACAAATATCATGTAGTATTAACTTGATATGATATAATATAATATAATATATAGTATAATATCATATAAACATGATATAGCGTACCTGCAAAAATAACACATAACATAAATATGACATATTACAACAAAACATAATAGAATGAAGAAATGCTCGAGTATAACAAAAGTAATACAATATAAAAAGTATAATATATATATATATATGTATACACATACATATGTGCAGTTGTGTGTATATGCATGTCAGCATGTTTGTGCGCATGTATGTATGGATGGCGGTTTGTTTGTATGCGCTTATACATAAATATAAGTATACATATATGTAAATATATATATATATATATGCGCACACAGTGAGAGAAGAGGACCTGTGGCTATGGCTTCCAGGACTGAAGGGCAAAGTGAACAGAGAAGAAGACAGCCACAAGCTTTCGCTCTCCTTTTCCTTGCTCAAGGCTTTCTGCTGTCCCTGAGGATCGATCTCATGAGCGCGGCAGGAGGGCCATGTCGACCAAGAGCCAGCCAGAAGCCACCTCTCGCGCACCAGCGCTGATCGCAAGATCTCCAGCGTCAGATTGCACCATGTTCAAGAGCAAGACGATGCGCTGGAGGCACAGCAAGGCCTCATAAAGACCGGGCGCTGCTCAGACAAAGCCACTGCAGGCTGTGTAAGTCTAGAACCGCTGTGACCTACATACGCAATGCGGGCACAGGGGGCACCTTTCCAGCATTGGCGGCACTTCATGCTGTAAAGTCCAGAGGTTGTCGTTCCTAGTGGCGTCGGCGTCTGCGCGACCTGCT